ATGAAATCTTAGTGAGATTAGGACTAGATGGAGCAAATTAACCAAACTAGACCACTGCATACTCTTTAGATCATTGTTGACTCTTTGAATCATATCTAGAGCTACATGCAGAACTTTGCTAAAATTTAAGATAAGCTAAAAACTAGACATCTCAAGCTTTTTATCAATATATGACTGGTCCAATAGCTCATCTAAACGAGAGATAATAAATTTTTTAAGACCGGGTCTAAAATCTACCAATGGACTAGCACAAGTCCAAATTAATTTTTTCATATTTGAATGATGACATGGTACCACATTAATGATGTGAAAAGAGTCCCACAGGACTAGTAAACCTATCTAAAATATCAATGTCAATACACAAGTCTTTAAAATCAGATAAATATAAGAAAATCTTAAAGTTATCTGATTAGAAATTAGTTATTAACTAAAAAAATTCTCCACCTCCTCAACTTTGAATAATCAGCCCTAACCATATAAGAAAAAGGGAATCATGTTTAGAGAACAAGAAAAGAGAATGAGGAATTCTATTATTTTTATAATTATATTTTTTACCTTTCCCCTTTTTAAATTTACAACATGTTTAGTTTTTAATTTTAAGAGTTTGTACTCTTGGATCTTAAATTGTCACGAGGAGTTGTGCTTTAAATTATTCTATATATGATTGTGATACAAGAATATCTTATATTTTTCTATGATTAAATTTGATGATTGATGACCAAAACTCTATATGATGCACAATATATGTGTTTGGATTTAAATCTATTTCTATTGACTAGTAATTTATGTTGGGTGCATGACTAATTAACTAGAGTGGCAGAAGTATTTAATTTTTTAACCTATGTTAGATTATTTATTACTTGAAAATATAAGTCCTGATTAAATTAACTCCACATATGTTTAATTATCATGAATCAATTATACCTATCATGATCCTAGTACTATTACATAGTAAATTCATGCACGTTTAATGAAGGTTATCATGTGATTATAATTAATTGATGTGCAAATACTAAGTCAACTAAAAAGTAAAGATATGTAAAAAAGTTTATTTTTCATGATTGATTTATTTATAATGACAAATAAATTTTAAAACATACTTAAATTCAATGATAGGTGTTAATTATCACCAAGGAACACTTTTTTAAAATTAATGTTAAAACCTTTTATCTCTATATTTAATATTATACCGAATATGCCTTTTAATTTTCAAAATTGATTCTTGTCATTTTATTAGCTTTCTAGTTTGTTTTAATTAGTTTATATTATAAACAACCCCTTTTAGGTGGTTTTTCTTCTTCTTCAAATTGCATGTTAGTTGATTTCATCGGATTAGTGTATTTAATGTAAATTATTTACTTGGTTTACTTTACTCTAAACTTAAATAGCTTATTTTGATTAGATAATTAAGTTTTAATACTAATATCCTTATGGAGAATACCTTTATTTACTATATTACAAATCATTAATATTAAGGGTTTAAATTTGTGTGACTTTAATACTTATCAACCATGTATGTCATTGTTGTAACCCAATTTTGGATTCACTAATTTTTTTTTAAAATGTTATTTTATCTTATTATTCATGACAAAAAAATAAAAAAAAAACAGAGAGAAAAAGAAAAGAAAAAAAGAGTTTAAAATATATTTTCTCGAGTCAACCGTCATTTTCTGTCAAAACCGAGTCCACCAGGTCAATACGGGTTAAACGATGTCGACCGGGATTAAAAATGAGTTTCAGGACGTTTCGGGTCAAAACCGTCATTTTCTGTCAAAATCAAGTCCATCGGGTCAATACGGGTCCCACCACGTCGACCACAATGAAAAATGAGTTTCGAGCTGTTTCGGGTCAAAACCGTCATTTTCGGTCAAAACCGAGTCCACCGGGTCAATACGGGTCCCACCATGTCGACCGCGATAAAAAATGAGTTTTGGACTATTTTTGGTCAAAACTGGTATTTTTGGTCAAAAAACCTGGTCCACCGAGTTGATACCCGTATAAAAAAGTTTTTTTTGTAATTTAAAATTAATTTTAGTGGATGAAAAACTTTTTATAATACTGATTTGAATTTTTAATTTTATCACCAAGGAACACTTTTTTAAAATTAATGTTAAAACCTTTTATCTTTATATTTAATATTATACTGAACATGCCTTTTAATTTTCAAAATTGATTCTTGTCATTTTATTAGCTTTCTAGTTTGTTTTAATTAGTTTATATTATAAACAACCCCTTTTAGGTGGTTTTTCTTCTTCTTCAAATTGCATGTTAGTTGATTTCATCGGATTAGTGTATTTAATGTAAATTATTTACTTGGTTTACTTTACTCTAAACTTAAATAGCTTATTTTAATTAGATAATTAAGTTTTAATACTATATTACAAATCATTAATATTAAGGGTTTAAATTTGTGTGACTTTGATACTTATCAACCATGTACGTCATTATGTTTAATAATTTTATTTATTAAAATTATTTTTTATTTAATTAAATGATAATAAAAACATATATCTACATATAAAAACAACTAAATCAAATCAAAGAAAAAAAATATTATGTAAGGTTACACATAATAAAAAAAAATATTATCATTTTATGTGAAAGCTAAGTAAACATTAAATCATAGTTGATCATATACTAAATTGAAGATTTTAGAGATAGATATGGATGTAAATATTTGATTTCAAAATACAAGATATAAACTCGATTGTATTTAATAATATTATTTCTTGAAACTAATGGTTATTTATTGAAATGATAAAAAAAAAACTTGCACAAAAAAGAGATTGAATAAAACAAAATGAAAAAAAATAAGTAAGGGTATACATAAAGGATGCCTTCTAACACCAGAAAAATATTTAAATCTTATATGTAAACCATTTAAAAATTAAATCACATTTTATTAAAAAGTCATAATTTTTTTTTAAATGGAATAAAAATAGTAAATAAAAAAATTATAAATAATATTGAATAATAAAATTAAAATAAAAAAATAAAAAAATAGCCTAGATATACAGGCCTAGGTGGCCTAACATGAAGCTTGTGCACATGAATTGACTTTTTTTTTTTAAAGGTTAGACAATAGTTTTAAGAAATCAAAGCATCACTAAAAATTCAAGCCATGAGTTTTTAATTAAAAAACTTAACTCTCAACTTGTTTTTGATTTATGAACACTTGAAAACACTTCATACACCTTACTAGACACATTTATTGGCCTCAAATAACCCAAAATAGCTTACAAAACCAAGATAAAAAAAAATTTCAAGCTAAGATCTACTAGGCAATGGGAAGGGAAAAAAACATGGGTAAAACTTTACTCGTCGAATGAAACTCATTGACATCAAAATCAGCTTTTTTCATGATCGAAATCAATGTTAACTAAATTTTTTTTTCTTTGCCTTCAGAATCTAGCCTCTCTTTCTTCTCTCTAATTAGAGACAAAATAAATTTAAAAAAGATTTTATACCATAATTGAATTATTGAAATATAAAGGGACCAGAAAGTTATCATTTAAAAAATGAGAGGACCAAACTGAACTTCTCACCCTAATTTTAAACTACCACTTGTTTTCTCCTTGTTTTACACTTTGATCCCCTCTATTTTAATTTTGTTCCTCCTTGGTAATTTTTGGTAAATTGATCATGAAATTAGATATAAAATAATGCAATTAAAGAGAAATAAATTTTAAGGATTCACTTAAAAAAATAGCCTAAATATGCAAGTCTAGGCAGCCTAACATGAAGTTTGTGCACATGAATTGACTTTTTTTTTAAAGGTTAGATAATAGTTTTAAGAAATCAAAGCGTCACTGAAAATTCAAGCCATGAGTTTTTTAATTAAAAAACTCAACTCTCAACTAGTTTTTGGTTCATGAACACTTGAAAACACTTCATACACCTTACTAGACCTATTTATTGGCTTCAAATAATCCAAAATAGCTTACAAAACCAAGATAAAAAAAATTTTCAAGCTAAGATCTACTAGGCAATGGGAAGGGATAAAAACATGGGTAAAACTTTACTCGTTGAATGAAACTCATTGACATCAAAATCAGCTTTTTTCATGATCGAAATCAATGTTAACTAATGTTTTTTTTCTTTACCTTCAGAATCTAGCCTCTCTTTCTTCTCTCTAATTAGAGACAAAATAAATTAAAAAAATGTTTTATACCACAATTGAATTATTGAAATATAAAGGGACCAGAAAGTTATCATTTAAAAAATGAGAGGACCAAACTGAACTTCTCACCCTAATTTTTAAACTACCACTTGTTTTCTCCTTGTTTTACACTTTGATCCCTTCTATTTTAATTTTGTTCCTTCTTGGTAATTTTTGGTAAATTGATCATGAAATTAGATATAAAATAATGCAATTAAAGAGAAACAAATTTTAAGGATTCAGTTAAAAATACACTATAAATTACTATAGTAAAAACTGCACATGGTTTAGAGTTTTCTATAATAGTTATTAGTTCCAAGGTTTTGAACATATTTTAACTCGGTTCTTTGTATTTGAAAACTTATAGATTAATAATTGATTTTTGTATTGTGAAGTTGGATTTGTATGGCTTGAAATTGTAACTTTATTTGCAAGTTGAATAAGAATTTTTTTAATATAAAAAATAATTAGATATTATTAATGCATTTTATAAATAAAAAGTAAAATTTTAAACTGTATAGAAGTGAATAAAAGTGAATCTAATATGATTTAATTATTTTCATAAATTCAAAAATAACAAGAAATATACATAAAAATATAATTTGACTTAATCAAAATTTAAGATAATTTTTTTAAAATGATGACAATAAATTGTATAATTAATAATCCATAAATAATAAATTCATAAATTCATTATTTAAATTATAAGATGGTAATGATTTATAAAAATAAATTATGAAATTTAATTATTAATAATTACAAGAATAAAATTTTAAAAAATAATAAAAAATAATCTAAACTGCTGTTTCCCTTCGGGAGGAGGTGAACAGGGCCTCAATTTTTGTTAATAAGGTTGTAATTGTAAATTAAAATGCAAGAGAGAGAAAAAAGAAGGGGCCAAGGCTAGTCGCAAGCTAGCAAGTACAATGAAAGCGGGAAACATCCTCGGAAATGCTTGCTTTCCATGGAAACCCACACTCTCACCCCGCCTACCTCCTCCCCTCTCCACCTTCCGTTGCTTCTCTGCCTTGCCTTCTTCCAGTTCATTGGTACCTAACCCCCCCTTCTCTCTTTTACTTGCGTTGAATTTGATGTCGTGCTCTCTCTCTCTCTCTCTCTCATTTTATCTTGTTTTATGTTTACTGTACTTAAAAGAAAACCAAAATGAAGCCGAAGAGAGATTGGGCTGCTGATTGGATATCGAACAACGACGACACCGTTCGAGGCTTTCCCATATTTGTCGGAGGTGCTTCTCTCTTAGCCGTGCTCGTCAATCGCGCCGTTACAGGCATAGCTCCCGTTGCTGATGCCAGCAGGTAAAATTTCTTGCTGCTATGTTATGATGTGACATGTAATGTTTGATTACCAATTTGTGTTTCCTTATCATAATTATCAAGGAAATGCTGCTAAGTAACAGATATTTGGCAGTTCACAATCGAGGGCTGATTTGTTAACACTTGGATTGGCTGTTACTAATATATTAACTGGTCTGGTATGGCTGACAATTCGCCCTAAATCTATCTCTGTGGTAAGGGCTAAATATCTGCTTTCCATGGTTAATTTTCTTTAATTGGATTGGATATTGCGGGGTGTGATTTTTATTTTCATTTGTTTTCTAGGTAAATCCTCAAGGCGTGGAATGCCGGTTTATATTTTCCCACCTTCCTGATTTTGTAGTTTCCGAGCTATTATGGTACTACTGTAGTTGAAAAGATTTTGAGTTGGATTAATTTAGAGCTTGGTTGTCAACTGCTTGTTAATCATCAACATAATTTGGAGGAATGAGAAATAGGTAATGCATTATTGGCTATTAATCGTTGCTTTTGTTGCTCGACTTTAGGGCATGGGAGTCTCTGTCAGGTGTTACATGCTGTAGGTCTCTAGTTGTTGTTTACGATTGCTGTTGTATCCTACAAATTGGGGTGGCAGCTGAATCTGTCAATAATGAAGCACTGGCTGTTGATGCAGCCAATTTGATGCAAGGATCTCTTTACCAGGCTGCTATAAAATCTGCATCTCGTAAGTGATTACGGTGATTTGTTAGAAACAATTCTAAAAGACTGATTGTTTACTTATTCTATTTGCAGAGAGCTATTTGGCCAACCTTTCTCTCTACCCTGGGAGATCTGAGTTGCCATTTCTACCTTTGAACACACAGGTGATCTAGCTTAGTTTTCCCATTAAGTACAATTCGACTTTGTTTTCTTTTTTCATTGAGATGTAGTAACACGCTTCATTTTAAAAGAGGAAATCATCACTTTTGCTGATTATTTATTTGGTGACCTTTTGCTTATTTTAGCCGCACTGGATGCTTGCATTACTGTAAACAGACCTTTTCTTTGTCTTCTGAATTAAAGTTGCTGCATATTTCTTAATTTAAGATTTTTTTTGCATGGACTGTTTGAGAAATATTGAGATGGAAATAGTCTTGAAGGAGTAAAGGTGCTCTTATTTAACTTGTGCCGCAAAAAGATTAGATATCTAGAACCATGAGAAAGTTCTGGTTAAGAAAATGAGTACATTTGTAGGAAGGTAGAGGTGGCATCTTTGAATAAAAATTAATCGTGGGCCATTTGAGATGATTTGGCTATATCTGATTTTGACCTATGGTTGCATCAGTGAGAAAGAGTGGTCAACTTGAAATGTTAATTGAGGATCAGGAGAGTTAGATATAAAATGACATGCAGAAGTGGAAGGATAATCTTGAATCTCAACAGGTTATCGAAAGTTGAGTTCATGACAGTACTGAATAGAGCAGGGGGAAGCAGATTCAGGTTAGTTCTGAATAGAAGAGAGGGAGGCAGATTCAGGTAACTAACCTCAAACTATTTTTGTTTGAGGCTTAGTCGAGTTGAATTGAGCTAGTACGTTTCCAGAGTAATTGGCCATGAACCATAATATTATTTTGATTCATGTGCAGCTAATGTGTTTTCTTTCCCCCGTCACAGAATGTATGGTTGCTTTGTTGGACAGAAGATCATTTGATGGTTTTGAAGAGGAAGTTGTCTCGGAAATGTCTATGATGTGTATATCCATAAGAAATGTACACTTAAAGCTACATTCCTATTTATATTGTGGAGAAAATTGCTCCGCTCTGGAGTGTAATTCTAAACCTGCAACACATTTTTCATTGATTTTCCTGCGCCAGATATCCACATCAAAGAATTACTAAATCAATATGACAATTTGCCAGGCAGTGATTTTGCAGCCACTTGGAGACAAAGGAATTGTAATAATTGGTGGTGACACAATTAGGGGGTTCACATCTTCCGACCAGGTCCATTCTTTTATCTTTTAGTTATAACATATATGTTAAGAGCCATTTGGTTACACTTTTTCTATTTTCTTCAGCTGATATCTGTGTTTCTCATATCCCTTTGATTGCGAAAGCATCAAAATTAGTGTTAGACATTACCTTCGTCTCTAGTCATTTATTGCTGGATTTAAGATTTCCAATTTTTATTCGCTCGCAGGCATGGATTACGCTTATTGGAGAAAAACTGGATGCTACTCTTGCAAAATATGTTACAAATGAACGATTGGCAGTGCAAGATAGAGTCTGAAAATAACTATACCGAACTATGGATCCTCATGTGTATATATATAGCATTTGCTGTGTCCATTATTTAAGGTAAACTTTATTTCAGTTTGAAGTGCATTTAGGCATTATAATATTGTCAAACTGTTTCTGTTTTGAGGTCTTTTGTCCCATTTGTCTCGGAAATCCATGCCACTGGCTTTACTGAACTCAGAGATTGGTGTGTTTGTGAGTGGTAGCAGTTATTTTTTAAAATATTTTTTTATTGAAAATGTATCAAAATAATATTTTTTATTTTTTTAAAAATTATTTTTGACATCAGCATATTAAAATGATATGAAAACACACTAAAAAAATAACTTAAAGTAAAAAAAAATAAAAAAGTTTTAATTTTTTTAATAGTGTTTTTGAAGGTAAAAACAGATAGGCTCTAAACTTTGATTAGGTGGAACCTATCTTCTCTTCCCCTCGGCATGTGGTTTGTTGCATTTTGTTATATCTAGGTAGGTGTTTTTTTTTTAACCTATGCCAAACAATTCTTTGTGATTACATGGATCATATTTTCTTTTTGGAGAAGTTGTTAGTATGATTACACGTAATTATATGTCTGATGTTTTCTTAAAATAATAAGATAAAGGCATATCGCGGAGTTGTCAGGCGTTTATATATTGTTTTTCATGCAAGAGAATGTGGAATGTGACTACGTGTGCTGGTGTTGCTAGAGGGAAACTGATGATAGTTTAAGAACATGTTTTACAAAGGACCAAGCATCAAAATCACGCCATGTGGAGCTTAAAGATGAAACAATAAAATTTTAAAATAAGCGGATCCATTTACAAGTTCTCTGATGTCTTGCACGCTTTTGTGAACCAGGAGACAAACTGTCATCAAACCAAATCATAGCGAGGCAGAACGAAGATGGAGTGAAAACCGGGGGCATTGTGTGGTGAGCCCACCTCGTGCCAAATGTGTGGGTTTCTAGGTATAGACGCTTTGACTTTCGAGTTGTAATAACACAGGAAGCATAAACATTTTTCAAATTTTCATTAATGAGTTTACAGATTGAGCTGGTAAACCCTAACATTTGTACAACTTATGGTTCATAGCAGCTTGATCATTATTTCTTTTCTTTTCCTGTTTTCTGAAAAGCTCGCCGATTACATTCCTTGCCGAGTAAATAGTCCGGTCTTTCTGTCTCCTGTTTCATGAATCTGCCATGGTGCAAGTGCTTATGTTTTGATTTGATGCTGTGAGATGATTTTGTTCTTGTTTAACCAAAGCAAGCAATATCTGTTACAATCCCAGGCAACACCATTACTCCTGGCCATCAATTTTGTTGTACTATTTCTATTGAAAAAGGAAGCACAAAAGGAAGAAGAAAAGAATCACTTGAATACTTTTCCAACTTTACATCTGTGTAATTTGCCTCTCTATGACAATAAAAAATCAGGTACAAAAAATGCAAAATGAAACAATCAAAGAATGCTGCTCGTGTAATTACTCTGTTATACATGGGCGCCTAGCTGTAATTTGCAAATCCAAATGAGAAATTTCCAAATGAGAAATTGTCAGGCGAGGGACCTCTACCAGGGAAGGAACCCTGACGCAGAATCGGCAAAATTGGCCATAACAAAATCCTTTAGACCAGTGTCCCAAACCTCGCAGAATTGAAGCCGCCAATTGGGAGGTTCAATGGCTTCGGTTCCTAGACCTGGTGCTCTGTCCTTTGATCCCTTATTTTGGTCATCTTGCCAGTTAGTGACATAGGTCGAAACTCTTCTAAAGAACTTGGCTTTAAAGGTATCCCACACTTGGTATTTGTAGTGGTTCACTACAGCCTTGCTTTCTTGGAGATCCAGGTATCTGTATCCATCCTGCAGTCTAAAATGATGCACCGCGTTAAGAAGAGTTGTATGAAGGAGTTCTGGGCGCACAATAGATTTGTGTCTCTCCGGAGCCTCAAGCCGACAAGTATAACCTACAGTTACACCCTGTGATGGTGATGATGTCAGTCCAGATGGCCCATAGCTGTGGCAAACTGTTCTTATCTCTGCATATGTTGGCGAATCTGTGTAGTTCATGACAAGGGCTCGTAGCGAATTTGGACCAGGTATATCTTGTCCTCGGTCATGTGGGAAGTAGAAAAACTCATCAACATCAAACAATCCGAGCCACTTGCATTCATGCTTTGCTCTCAAAGCACAGTGTGAAAAGCCTGCCTCTTGTGTTTTAACCCATGGCCAAACATGCCTAGTAATGTTGTACTCGTGCAAATTAAGCTCATCAATAACCTCTTGAAGCTCATCATCGCTGTTGTTGTCATAGATGAACCATCGCTCTATTCCAAGCCAAGCGTGATAGATAATCCACTCCCGTAAGAAAGATGCCTGGTTCCATAGCATGGTGCAAGCACAAAGCTCGTATTTCCCTGTTTTACTCTTGCCCTGATGGGAGTTGACGTTTTGAAGTTTGGCAATGGAAGGCAGAGGAGCATCATCTGCACCTTCAACATTGTCATCACCACGACGACCAACAGTGACTCGAATGTCCTTAGCCTTATCTGGATTGTTTAGAATACTACGCGGCAACAAACAACGAACAGTTTCTTGTGCAACTGCAATCGCTTGGGTAGTGAGCACAAATAATCCTCGATGATGTTGATCAAAATCAGTCAAACTAAAGTGGCACCTGAATTTCCTTGCATCGGCTTCTCTTTGCGGCTTTAGATTCAATCCTTTAGCAAACACAACCACATTCCTAGTGTGAGCGTCCCAATCCAAAACCGCCTCATAAACCACCCTGTCCCAGGAAGGAACCACACTCTGATTAAGCCGCAACAACCAGTCACGTCTTTCCACCACAACATTGCCAAGACGCCCTCGCTGTCTCCCTCTCAAATTAACTGAAGCAGAGAAGTTTAGAGGCGGAAGGTGACACCTCACAATGGACTTATACTGATGGTATTCGTCAACAGACAAAACGGGCTTCAACACAACTTGTTCAAGCACAAGGTCGTAGTAAACACAGTGTAAGTTATCAACAGGGGGAGTTAATTTATTGGACACGATTAGCATTAAGTGGTCGGGCATCAACACCCTGCCTTCAACTACTAAACGAGGATACTGGGATTTACTGGTAGCATGAGCACCACCATTACCAGTCAGAAAAGCAGGCAAAAGTGATAAAGTGGAAGTCTTCAGAACCGGACGAAACGAAACGCCCTTATGGATAGGCAAACGATCTGAGGAGATGAACAAAACAAACACGAAGAAAGACAAGCATACAGTTAGAGACCTTACAGATAAAAACTTGGCATACGCTGGTTTATATATTCTTGCCTGCTGCTTTCTCTTCCTCCGTTGCGGGGAATCCATTTTCTTGAATCTTGAATGAGCAAGAAGCAGATCTGGAGGAGCTCACAGTGAGATTTATAAAGGCCGGTCGGAGAAGGAAAAGAATAAGGAAAGCAACGCGGTGTCGACTGCTGTTGCTTTTTGACTCGTGGAGTAGTGGAGGAAAGGAAGAAGAGAAGAAGATGAGGTGGATTACGGACTTTCGATTGATTTTTACGCTCGTTTTAGCGCGTGAGATTGACACCTGCTTGTTTTAATTCAAAGGCTTGTTGTTGATGATTGCCAATTAATTCCTTTTTTTTTCTTTTTCATGGCCTTTCCGTCTTTTATTTTTATGCTAATTAAACGGAGATTTTAGCAATAAAATGATTGATGGATGGATGACAGGAGCGACTGCTTCGTCAAGTTTTCATAAATCAGACATAAAGTAATTTTATGTTTTTTTGACCGTTAACGTTTTCACTTTTTTCAAAAAGATCACATCCTCCTGTTTTTCACTCTTTTATATATATATATATATATAGTTTTAATGTATCAATATAAAAAATAAATAATGAAAAAATAATAATTTTAATATATTTTCAAATAAAAAATAATTTAAAAAAAGCATCTATAGACTAAATATTTACCAAATCAATTCGCTAAATTCACTAAATTAAGTTTAACAACTATAATTTGAACAAATCCCACAAGACCTTATCTACAACATAATAATAAAAAAAATCCCAAATTAACCATGGCAGAGTCTTTAGAATTTTATTTTTTTTATTGTTTGAAATTGGGATTTCATCACGCACCTGGAGAGGATCATGGATGGAGAATCTGTCGTGCTGTTGATGAGAGGATAAAATTTTTTGTTGCCTGCAGCAACTTGCTTTTCATTATTTGTTTTTGAGGAGTGGGTGCTTGCCGGCCACGGGAACGAACCGCACTTAACTATACGCTGGCAAAAAGACAGGTTGTTAATATTGAAAAGCACGCATGTTGCTGCTTTGATTTTATGTGGAAATTTCCATTAACACCATGTGCCATCCATGATCGACTGCGAAGGAAGCCACTCCCTATTGAAATTTTAAATCTTCCCACCACCATCATGCACCTTCTATACCATGTAGTTGTTAGATTTTGATTATTTGTTGTTAGCTCAAGGGACCGCTCTAGCGCGGCGGTTTAGCCATCGTTTTGTTATTTTTAATTTTTTTTAATTAATATTTTTGTGATTTTAAAGTAATTGAAAATCAATTAGGATCTCAATGATATTCTTGCGGATATATCTTGAATTTTAAACTTGGAGATGCATTACTTGTTTATGCCAGCAAGCTGAAAAATGGAAGCCACCAAACATGGGCAGATTAGGTTTGACTGTGACGTTTCTAAACTTCAAGGATGCTCCTTGACAGGTCTGGCTTTGGTGGGAAGAAATCATTGAGGACAAGTGTTTGCTGGGAAGGCATGAAACACTAATGTTTCTACTGTTTTAAAAGTTGAAGCCATGGCTTATAGAGATGCCATGAAGACTGCGGTCAACAAAGCTTCAAGCAATGTGATATTGGATACAGAAGCGTGGCTTGTAGGTGATGCTTTTAGGCCAATTCGGGGTCCAAGTCCGAGGGAGATTAAGTTAGCGATTCATATGTTTTTGGATGTTTTGATATAATGATGTTAAAAATAATTTTTAAGAGATAAAAAATATTATTTTCAACAGTCAGTATTTATGCAGGAACATAAAAGCAAACATGGTAGCCGACTGGGTTTCTAGAGCCGTTAGACAGCTAAATAACTGTGGACTGGGTTCATAAGCCCCTCCGCCATCAAGGAGCTTTTGCATAATGACATTGCTAATGCTTCAATCAATGAATGCGTTGCATGTAAGAAAAGTGAAGTGAAGAATTGTAAAGGGATTAAAAAGCAAAAAACTATCTTCTTTTTAAACAGCAGTATAGTGGTGCCCCTCCCCTCAACTGTTCTTTCTTGAATAACTTGTTCCATGGTATACAAACATTATTCTAGGAACAGGGTGGGTGGGTTTATCCCACAAAAAGGTTCTTTATTCACCATAAAAAGCAGTGTGAAAATACTGATCCCTGCACAGCTATAACTTCTCCGTCAGCAAATGGTGAAACCCAATTAAATAAGAATCACTTATGGAGAATAGCTCTGGTGGTGAGTTCCTAAAGACATGCCACCTCTAAATAGAGAAATCTGGATATTATTCGCTGAAGCCCGTAGAATAATCAGTGAGAAGGCAGTAAAAATCCAAGAATTTCACATTTGTGCACTTGTGGCCAACTTGATCTGTGACTGGCTTTTTCTTCCAGTGCGTTCAGCTTCAGGTTCTTATGGCCCTTGTCTCCCAGCTTGATGACTGTTATGAAAAGTTCTTGTTTTCATTTAATAGGAAACCTGACGGCACAAATCTTGTTATCATTTAATAGGAAACCTGACGGCACAAATGCAGATAATTAGAGAGATGGTCTAGAAAGCAGAAGGTTTTACTCTTGGCAACGTCCATTTCAAATAAATTTGTATCCAGAAAACCATATTCGCTAGCTCATACCGCGCAAATAGATAACTAAATCCATAGGTAAACTTCTAAAAATTATAAAACTTAGTGCTATAAACTCAAATACATGCAATGAGGAACGCAGTAAGGATCTGTAATAGTTAGATACTAGTTATTCTATGCATTAGAATTTGTAGTTCTTTGCCATCACAACACTTGGTCATGATACCAGACCTTGGGGGATTTACCCGATTGATGTTCAAAATGATTTAAAAGAGAAAAAAAAAAGAACTTGCAAAGAGAAAATTTGAATACAGTAAAACTAGTGTAAGATCAGATATCTAATCACCTGCTGCTTAGGTTCATCTCGACTTCTGTTATTTGCCATTTGACTTGTATAGAGCCCTGAACTCTGCCCGTTTACGCTGGAAACATCTGCCAACGTATTCACAACAAATCCACCCATACTCTGACGCTGAGATTTTTGGCTTCCTGGGTTGTATGTTTCAATGCTAGCATTCTTAACAGGAATACTGAAAACAGAATTCAATGACTGAGTGTTCCCAGAAGAAGAGAACGTTGAAGTAGAAGAGCGACATTCTGTTCTCCTCCAGAGCTTAGAACTTAAGAATTCTGCACCAGGAAGCTTGCAACATGTGTTCTCTACAGAGTCAGTTCTAGGAATCCTTCCACTTGATACTGCCAAATCATATGAAATTTCATTGACTGCCATCTCCAGGCCGTGAACTCGTGTCTCGAGAGAATTTATACCACTCTGGGAGCTCCCTATGAATCTCTAAATTCAAGAAAAGAGGAGACGATTGAAGTCAGCAAATAACTTTTCATCATTTTAGCGCCCTAGTATTTCCACTAAAGTGCTACATTGCCAAGTTTAGTAAACCATAGGATACACAATAATTGGATGTTCAAGCATAACAAAGTAGATGGATGGTGACATGTTGACACTCGGCAAGGGGTCAACTCTATTCAGTGAGGGGAAAGAGTTGATTGTTCCAAATTTCACCATTAATTGGAGACACCGTAACAAATTACATATAGTGAAAGCATGCGTTATCTCATCTGGGCAACATGTCCAAATAGAGTGGTAATGTACAGACTGCAGACCTAGCAACAACATGCTGTAAGCAAACTGAGGAAATGAAAGCCTTTCTTCACAATTGGCTAGAATGACTTGTTAGGAGGAGCGGGAGGCAAAGAGTGAGAGATCAAAATTCTCATTTTGTACCTGAAGGAGGTTTAAAAGACTGGATTGCTGGTTTTCAATCTGAATAAGTTGTTCACGGATCAAAGACAGATCCTCGTAATCTTTATGGTTCTCATAGAAATCTTCATTAGAACCGCTCACTTCAACGTCTTTGCTGTAGCAGTTTTCATCCCCCTGAATTGGAACCACGCGCGACCCAGATTTCAAACCATCATATTTGTGCCGTTTGTCAACCAGGATACTACTGAAGAGGACACGTTTTGTTTCTGGTGTGGAATTTGTATCATCCACATTCTGCCCTGATCCCAAAACTCCAGAATCATGCCCTGTAACATCACCACAAGCTTTTCCTGGTGGTGTAGCGATTTCAATTTTCCAAGCCAAGTGTCTATCATGGCTCAGCTTATGAGTCCTTCCTGTCTTTGAATTGCTGTCATTGCTCTTTGCCGGGCTTTGTTTTTTGGCAGCTGTCATGAGCGAAGCATCAGGAGGAGGGGACCTATTTGCGGGGACTGTTTTCTTAGATAAAGGAGTTTTGAAACCGGTATCTTTGGAATTTTTGGAGGCGGTGGAGAGGCATATACCAACAGCATTATCTGGTCCAAGCCAAAATCCAAGAAAAACATAAATTGATCGTGTGAATTATCTTCACTACAAAGACTAAGAGGAGACTAAATTAAACTTCAATGCCATGGGCGCTAAATTATTGAACCCTTCTGAATTCAATCATACTAAATAAGATTATGAGGGGAGAAAGAAGAAGAAGCTGATACCTAAAGAAGAACATGTAGATTGAGATGGAACTGAAATTTCCTCAGAAATGCCTGGCACCTCCTTCCACAACTCCAATGTGCGATTCATAGTCTCCCTGACCAGCTTCACCTTTTTTTTTATACACACAAATCGTATCAGTACGAAAATCCCAACTTTCAGAATCAAAATCTATTGCCACTTTTCCAGCAATTTAATTTCATTTGTTTTTACCATTCAAACTGTAATCTCTTCAGTTAAAAGAAACAAATAAAAAGAAAAAGAAAAGCTTGCAATCTGTTCACAATTTTCTCAGCAACCAAACAAGTTTTAAGAGAAAGAGGTGAGATAATATTATACCTTATCAAACCTCCTGGTCTCTAGAGAAGTCAAACAGGTAACTTTATGTTCCTTCGCCAACTTCTTTTCCATTGACGCCACCTTCCCTAAGGCCTCAGCAGCAGCTTTTCTGGCTGTCCAATCTTCACTGCTCAGAAACTCAACCAAACACGGGACTAACCAATCTAAAAGCCCCTTACTTGACGCCCCACCAACGCCAACAATGCTCCCAATCAAACTCAGCAACGCCGCCTTTGCTTTAAACCCCTCTCCCTTAACCAGCTTCCCAA